CATCATCATCGTCATCAGCATCATCATCATCAGGATCATCAGGATCAGCATCAGCATCAGCATCATCAGCATCAGCATCAGCATCATCATCCCCAGCATCATCATCATTCTCATATTCAACATCATGTTCAACATCATCATGTTCAACATCATGTCCAACATCATCATGAGCAACATCATCATCATCAGCAGCAGCATCATCAGCATCATCATCATGATGATCAGCATCAGCAGCATCATCCTGATTACCTGATTACCTGATGGCAGGAAGGTCGTGCAGACGTTGCCGCCATCCTCCTCCTGCACTTCCTCCTGCCTGTTGCATGGCGATGACGACGACGACGACGACGACGACGACGACGATGCTTCGTCAGCGCAGGAGGGAGCCTCATTGGTGATGATGAAGTCCATACAAATGTCTTTCAGGCCGTCGGCACGGTGAGACTGGGGGGCACGGGCAAAAAAACAACAGAGCAAGCGGGGAGAGAGGCGCCGCCGGCAAGAGTCACTGCTGGCCGACCGTCGCCGTTCCCACGCTCGCCGCGACCTCCCACCCAGAGGAGGATAGAGAGAGGCGAGAGTAGAGAGGCAAGCTAGGTGCCCCCGCGCCATGTCTGACATCCGACCCCCTCCAGCCCATGCCTTCCTACTGCGCTCGCTGCTTCTGGATCCGCGGACGCGCGTCATGGCAGACCTGGAGCTCCAACACGTAGCCACATCGTGTTATGCGCAGTCGGAAGAAGGGGAGCTGCGTGCATGGAAGGAAGAGGAGGACGAGGAGGAGGAGGAAGAGGAGGAGGAGGAGGAGAAGGATGAGGAGGAAGAGGAGGAGGAGGAGGAGGAGGAGGAGGAAGAGGTGGCGGATGAGGAGATATGAGGAGGATGAGCAGGAGGAAAAAACGTACTAGGATGAGGAAGGAGGACGAAGACGAACAGCAGCAGCAGGAACTGGAGTGGAAAGAGTGGGGGGAGCAGAAGGACCAGGGGAAGGCGGAGAGGGTGAAAGGAGGGGGGTGAAGTTGCCCGCGCTGGCGCGAGGGCGCCATTCGGAACGACGGGAGAAAAGCCGCGATCCTGAAATAAGGCCCACGCTGCAGTGGGAGCGACACCTGGGAAAACCGAGAACACTCGAACTAAACCAACATCTGGAAGACAAACTCGGGCCCAACACCGTATGCGAAGAGAGGCGCGCGACTCTCAGCAAGTCTTTGGGAGAAGCAGATAGAGAGAGGCCGATAGGGTGCATATGGATAGACATACACATTTGTCTATACACATAGGCATATACATAACGCTATATACAGAGAGAGAGAGAGAGAAAGAAAGAAAGAGAGAGAGAGAGAGAGAGGAAGAGAGAGAGAGAGAAATAATGACATGTTTCAGAGATTGCCAACACTTTCAGATAGGACGGAGAGGCAGAAGAGAGACAGAGAGAGAGAGGAGCAAAGGGAGGAGAGGGAGGAGAGGGATAGAGAGAGAGAGAGAGAGAGAAAAGAGAAGAGAGAGAGAGAGAGAGACAGAGAGAGACAGAGAGAGAAAGAGGAGAGGGAGGAGAGGGAGGAGAGGAAGGAAAAAGAGAGAGAGAGAGAGGAGAGAGAGAGAGAGAGACAGAGAGAGGAGAGGGAGGAGAGGAAGAGGGAGGAAAAGAGAGAAAGAGAGAGAGAGAGAGAACAACAAGAAAGATAGAGAGAACTGGTGATACAAAGAGAGAGAGAGAGAGCACAACAGCACGAGGATAGGTAGGCAAGCTAGTTGCGCTCGCGCCATACCAGACATCCAACCCCTCCCAACCATCCCTTCTCGTTGCGCTCCTTGTTTCTCTGTCCACCGACGGGTGACATAGCGGACCTGGAACATCCGAAACGACCCTGCGCAATCAGACACGGGAGCTGGGCAACTATGTTGGCGGAGTTTTTTTTCTCCCCCCCCTCACGCACGCTGCCTTCTCCACCAGTGCGGGGCCTAGGGCACCTCCCCTGCGCTCCGCGTCGAAGCCGAGCTGAGCCCACCATGGACAAGGACGCACCGAACACGACCCCCACGACAACCCGGCATAGCGGCCAAGTGGAAGCACACCTCAGTCCGGAAACCCTCTAGGGGGGCCAATCCCGCTCCTCCTCAAGCACCATCTTCTCCATCATCATGCCATCCCACTGCGGCGTGCTCGAGGGGTTGCCACACTCATGGATGTGCATCGGGTCCGCCTCCGCCTGCTCGCCATCGGGGTACACCTTCAGAAGGACCACGTCCGCGCGAACACCAGTGATCCTCCCAACTCGCCCAATCCAGGGGCCGCCAAGGAAGGTGGCGAAACGATTCACAAACAACTCCATGGGCCAATCGTGGTGCAGGCAGAGCTCCCCGAGCGGCATCCTGTACTCGTCATCCACCCTCAAGTCCCAGTCCGTGCGCTTGAAGAAAATCTCCCGCACCACTCGGGGAGGATCCGCCTCACCAGGGAGCGTAACATCATGCACGTAGTGGCCGTCCTCGTAGGGCACCTGGTCGATGATATCCTCCTGCTCCTCCTCGGACCCGCCGCCACCGTCCTCATAGAGCAGCTGGTCAATGATGTCCTCCTGCTCCTGCTCCTCCTTCTTATCGTCGTTGCCGTCCTCGTAGTGCACCTGGTCTATGATAGCGTCCTCCTTCTCGGCCTCGTCCAGCACCTGGTCATAGAGCACCTGGTCAATGACAAAGGCCACCTGCTCCTCATCCCGACCGTCGCCGCCATGCTCGTAGCTCACTGGGTCTATTGCCTCGTTAGTGCCGTCGCCGTCCTCATAGTTCACCTGGTCAAGGAAATCCTCCGGCTCCTCCTTCGTCCCGTCGTAGCCGTCCACGATGCGCACCTGGTCGATGATGTCCGCCTGCTTCCCCTCAATCACGTCGTCGCCATCCTCGTAGTGCACCGTGTCAATGATATCATCCTGCTCCTAGATATCCTCCTCCAGAAATGCCTCCACCTCGGGCCAAGGATCATCAGCAGCACTAGAAAGTACTCCCAAACACCAGGACACCTCAGGATCCGCATGAACGAGTGGGAGTCTTGGAAGGAACTCAGCCGCTCCAGGGTTCAAGGTGGAAGAGCCTACCACTGAGACACTCCGCCGATGTCGCCACTGCTGGTGTCGAGCGGCATTCGCACGACGCAGAATGGTGTACATGTGCGCAACAACATCCCCCGAGAAAATGCCACGAGCCTCCACCCACCGTATTGCCGAACGCAGGGACCGCATGTGAGGCGCTCCATGGAGCACTTAAGGGCATACTGCAGTAGCAACCCTCGCCTGAGGTCCGACAGCCGTGAGGAAAGTGCGTCAGGTGGTACGCCGAGGGGCTGAAGTCCGTGATGACAGTCCCGTAGTCGCAGCACTGCCGCACAAGCATCCTGGAACTCCGAACATGAGCGTGTTGACAATCGAGCCCGACGACCATGGATGCGTAGCGCACCAAGCGCGTAGTTCAGAGTCATGCAGCAAGACACGCCGAGGGAGCTGGATACGATAGACCGCAGCCGTGAGGAAGAACACCTCGAGGTTAGATCAGGAAGAAAAACACGTAGCCCAGTCCCGCGAAAAAGAGGACGCCACCGCACCAGGAAGCGCTGACATGGGGGAACCGAGGGGCGCGAGCAGGGGGCGGGCCGCGGGGATGACTTGAGCCAAAATGGCTACGGAGCAACTATGTTGGAGGAGGATGAGGTGGTGGGTGAGCAGGAGGATGAGCAGGATAATGGAGAGAGGAGGAGGAGGAGGAGGAGGAGGAGGAGGAGGAGGAGGAGGAGGAGGAGGAGGGGGAGGAGGAGGAGGGGAAGGAAGAAGCTAAATGCGCTCAGTCCATATCTGACATCCTGCCCTACTCCTCCTCCAACTCACCCCTTCCCGTTGCGCCGGGACTTCAAGAGGCCCTCCCCAAGAAGCAGACATCATGGATGCTCATCGTGCTACTCTAACGATGTTGGTCTTCTCGCCTTTCGGGTTTCTGACAACCCAAGGCAGCCCAAGAGGCACCCAAGACGACACCAAGCTGGCCCGATGGGCACCCCGAGACGGCCTATAAGGGCCCCAATCTGGCCCAAGACGCACCCAATACGACTCCGAGAGGGCCCCCGCACTGCTCAAGAGACCTCCAAGACGGGACTACGGAGCCCCAAGAAAGCCCTGAGATGGCCGAGAGAGGCGCCCACGACGGCCTCCAAAGGCGTCAGGCGGACCAAGAGCGCTCGAAAACGTGCCAAGAGGGCCCCAAATCGACCCCACAAAACTCAAGAAGCCTCCAGTAGGACCCCATGAAGCCCTGCGTGCACAGGGTCTAGCACATGGGGTCCAGCACCCACGGTAATCCTCCTCCTGATCATCGTCCTCCTCACCCTCCTCCTGTTCCTCCTCCTGTTCCTCCTCCTGTTCCTCCTCCTCCGACTCCTCCTCGTCCTCCTCTTCCCTTCTTCTCCTCCTCCTCCTCCTCCTCCCCCTCCTCCTCCTCCTCCTCCTCCTCTCCTCCTCCTCCTCCTCCTCCTCATCATCAGCATCATCATCATCATCATCATCATCATCATCATCATCATCATCATCATCATCATCATTCCCTCCTGCTCCTCCCCCACCTTGAATTCCGGCCGCCAGAGGGCGCAAGGCGCGCCGACAAAAAAAAAAAAACCCGCCGCCGCTCCTCCTCGGCCCTCCTTTTTTCCCTCCTCCTCCCCCTCCGTCTCCATCCTCGTCCTCCTCGTCCCTCCTCTTCCTCCTCCTCCTCCTCCTCCTCCTCCCGTCTTAGCTCCTAGCTCCTAGCTCCTCCTCCTCCTCTTCCTCCTGCCGCGTCATCATCTTCCTCTCCTCCTCCTCCTCCCTCCTCCTCCTCCTCCTCCTGCTCCTGCTCCTGCTTCCTGCTCCGCTACCTGCTCATGCCTCCTGCTGCTGCTGCTGCTGCTGCTGCTGCTGCTTCCGATGGCCGCTGCTGCTGCTCTGCTGCTGCAATTTGTCTCCCCTCCTCCTCCTCCTCCTCCTCCTCCTCCTCCTCCTCCTCCTCCACACACACACACACCTCCTCCTCATTGCTCTGCTGGCACCACGTGCGCGCGTGCTCCCGTGTCTGGCCAAACTGCATGCCCCATCCGTGCCCACACGCCCAGCCCGGCTCCAGCTCTGAATCGTCGCCCGCTCACCCCGGGGCACGATCCCACTGCGAATCCTCGCTCTCCACCCCTCCCCCTCCCTTCCCATCCCCCAGCGCCCCTCCTCCCCTTCCTCACCTTCCCCATTCCCTCCCCCTCCACTCCTCTCCCCTTCCTCTCCTCCCCTTCCCTCTCCTCCCCATCCCTCTCCTTCCCCTCCCCTCTCTTTCCCTCCCCTTCGCTCCATCGCGTTCCCCTTCCCGTCCCGACCCGCAAACCAGTCCCACCAGCCCTCTGGGCGAAGGTGGTATAACAAGTTTCCTTACCTCTCCCAAAACCCTCTTTCCCCTGCTCGGGAGAGGGGGGCCCCTCCCCCATACCCCCTCCCCTGGGTCTGGATGGGGGGGGGGGGGGGGGGGCGAGGGGCTAGAGCGTCGCAAATTGCCCAAGAGAGAGAAGGTACACAACATGGAATACCCCGAAGTATCTGAAAGATGTTGGCCTCCGAGGGGGGAGTGGGGGGTGGGTGGGGGCGAATTGACAGTGGGGCCCAAGACCGTCCAACATGGGCCCCCAGATCCCCCCGAAGAGCCCCAAGAAGGCCCCGAGACCCCCCCCAAGATGGCGCAAATTGTCCTCCAAAAACCTCTCACAACATCAATTCTACAAAGGCCGCCTCCTCATCCTCCGTGTTCTGGGTTCCCGAGGCGCTTCCACAGCGGCTGTGTTCAGTGCGTGCGTCTGCACTTCCCTCGTTGGGGCCAACTCCCATGGCGCTCGTTGCTGGATGGGCTGTTGGGGACACTTGTTAGTCAACGTCCGCGGGCGGAAGCGTCGGCGGCGTGTCAAGTCGAAGCGGGGCGCGCCACAGACTAATTAACAGCAAACTGGGGCGCAGTACTGCCAGGGTGCGCATGCAAGAGGCCGAGGCGGATCAGGCAAGATAAACGCGGGAAAAAACGAAAGGCTAGTGGGGACACGCGAAGCCCCTAAAATGTTGTTTGGTGCTCAGTTTGCTTCTGTCAGGCGCGTGTCCGGGGCTTGGACCCCTGAGCTACTCCTGGCCCCTGCAAAAGGCGCCCCCCTCTCGACCATCGGGCTCCAGTGGGTCTGGCGCTCGCACGGCAGCAGGGGCCTGACCCTTCTTTCGTGGACAGCCGCTCCGATCCGATCCGATCCTATCGCGCTCCCTCCTCTCCCGTCCCAACCCCCTTCCCCTCTCGTCGCGCCCCCCGCCCCTCCCCGTCCATCGCTCTCCCGCCCCCTCCCGTTCCCCTACCCCCCAGCTCTGCGCCCGTCGCTCGCGGGGGGCGGCGGGCGCCAGGCCTTGGCCGTCATCATGATCTGCACGACGTTGTCTATGGAGATCGACTTCCTGATGATGTCCTCGCACAACGCCTGCGATCCGAGGGAGAGGCTGGAGGGAGAGCGGAGGCAGCCTCGGTCGACAGGCCCGTGCGCAGGGCGAGGAATGGGGAAGCGGCAGCGGGGGGGGGACGGACAGGGCGGAAGAGAGAGAGAGGGAGAGAGAAGGAGGGAGAGAGGGAGGGAGGGAGGGAGGGAGGGAGAGAGAGAGAGAGGGAGGAGAGAGGAGGGAGGGAGGAGTATAGAGATAGAGATAGAGATATAGACATATACATGTACACATGTATATAGAGGGAGAGAGAGAGAGAGAGAGAGAGAGAGAGAGAGAGAGAAAGAAAGAGAGACAGACAGACAGAGAGAGAGATGGAGGCAGGGAGGGAGGGAGGGAGGGAGGGAGGGAGGGAGAGAGAGATGGAGGGAGAGAGGGAGAGAGAGAGATGGAGAGGGTGGAAGGAAAGGGATATATATATATATAGAGAGTATATATATAGAGAGAGAGAAGGAGAGAGAGAGAGAGAGATGGCCTGAGCTTGGCCCGAACTGAACGCGCACACGCACGCAGCCCGAACCGAACCAGCGGACCTGGGTCCTCAAGGCCCTCAACACAGCGGGCAAGCACCGCCATCGGGTGTCCAATCATGGATACTCTTGAACCGCCGCGCAATGCATGAAGCCACCGGGAGCCTGTGGAGATGTGCGAAACGAACTCGCGTGCGTCCGCTGCACACACAGACACAACACTCCTCGCATTCTTGCTGCACCCAAGCCAACACACACTCCCCACTCCCACCCAGACATCCGTCGTCTCGATTTCTTCGAGACGCGGGACCCCCGGCTCCCGCACACTTCCCTGGGACCGGTGTTTCATCCCGAGTCGTTTTTTGACGGTCCCCAGGCCCGGCGAGGGCCCCGAGAGGCCAAAAAACGATGGAAAACCTCTGCCTCGATTTTTTCGAGGCGCCCGATGTCTGGGCATCCCGCCAGCCTTCCCCCTGCTGCCGCTGCACACCACTCCTGCTGGG